AAAGCCGCCGTGCCGGGGGAAGGGGCAGCACTGACCTTGGGTGAAGTAGTGAGCCTTGTACTTCCCCAGGCGGACGGCGAAGGGGCCGTGCAGGGGGTCGGGGGCCGGAGGGTAGAAGAACATGGTCTGTCGGGGACTCTGGGGAGGCAGCAGAGCTCAGCTCTCCTGTGCAGCCACCCGGCTGGAGGAGAGCCTGGAAAACAGCACCAGACACTCCAGGGATTCCCACAGCAGCCCTGATCCCACAGCCGGAATGAGGCTGGAGAGGAGGGCAGGGGATGAACAGAAGCGTCCTGTTGGCTCCCTACTCACAGCTCCTGCCAGCCTGGGGACACCCAGCAACTCCAGGGGACAAAAGGTGCCAGCCCATGGGATCTCCCCTGATCCCAGCTGGTTCTGCTCCTCAGGCACTCCCTGCCCAAGGCCAGCTGAGCCAGCCCCCAGGACTCACCTTCCCTGTCCCAAACAGCACTGGGCTCATGTCGTAGCCATCCAGGGCCACTCTGGGAAGGGCTGCTCCAGCCAGGGCAGTCAGTGTTGGCAGGATGTCCAGGGTGCTTGCCAGCTCGTGCGTCACTCCTGGCACAAGGAGAAGTTCAAGCCCCTGATCCCACTCCCATCCCGGCCATCCCCACTTCAATCCCAGCTGGGCTGGCACAGGCAGTGCCAAGGCTCACCTGGGGCGATCCGGCCTGGCCAATAAGCCACCGCTGGTTCCCTCATGCCACCTTCGTACGTCGTGCCCTTGCCACACTTCAGGTGGCCGGAGCTGCCCCCGCGCGCCATCCGCATGGTGGAGGGGCTGGGGGACAAGAACCACCTGCCATCAGGGCCAAGGGTTCCCACTGCCCCTCCCCTGGTGCTGCCAACGGGGCCACGACCAGCGAGACCTGGTGCCACCCTGCTCAGTCTTATAGGGCGGGTGCAGACGCCAAGGTGTGTGGGACACCTGAGCAGGGCACCAGAGGCCAATGTCACCCACACACGAAGGGAACCGGGGGATATTTGGGCTGCTGCCACTCCTGGCTTGACCCCTGTGAGGTTTCTGGCCCAGCTGGGTCACAGGGACACAGAGGAGATCGTGCACTGGGTACCTCCTGCCCACTTCATGTCCCTGGGGTCTCACCTGGCAGTGCCACCCCACGCCCCGACCGCCGCCTTATCCCCCATCCCGCGGCAGCAGAATCCTCCCAGTGGTAAAGCCCCTGCTGCTGAGCCTGCTCACCCGTTGTCAGAGGTGAAGAACACCAGGGTGTTGTTCTCCAGGCCGTTCTCCTGCAGCTCCTGCAGCAACTGTCCCACGGAGCCATCGAACTCCGCCAGCGCGTCCCCGAAGGGGCCCCGCCGGGACCGCCCCGCGTACTCCTGGCTGGCAAACTGGGGGTAGTGGGTGTGCTGGGGAAAGGCAGAGAAGGTGGGAACCAGCCCCCACAGTTCCCAGCAGGAACAGGCAGCACCCCAGCAAGGACACGGAGAGAGGTGACAACAACACCCACGAGCTGAGAGGACGCTTGTCCCCAAGCACCTCTCAGCAATGGCACAAAGCAGCTGAGCCCCAGGACAGGACGTGGAACCCCAGAGTGGGAAGTTCTCCCCAGCGGATGGCCCAGAGAAGTGGGCAAAGTTCCAGAAAGAAGCACCCCCAAAGCATTATCCCACAAGACCCGGCTCTGCGTGGGAACAGCAATCCCAGGTCACCGGGGTGCAGGTCCTGGGGCTGCAGGAGTGGAGGTGCTCCCCTGCCCTCCCCACGGGACACAGGCTCCCTTCCCTTCCCCACCCCTCTCTTACATGGGAGGCGTAGTAGAGCAGGAAGGGGAGGCCCCGTTGGGCACAGTGAGCGATGAAATTCCGGGAGAATTTGTTGTAGAGTGGCACCAGGTTGGGGAAGGACACAGGCTGCTGGATGATGGTCTGGTTCCAGAGCAGCGGGAGCGGCACCACACCCTGGTCACAGGTCCCAAAACACTTGATGTCGGGTGGGAAGCAGGTGAGATTCTGGCAGGGGCCCTGGAGAGGACACAGAACTTGGGATCTGAGCTGCGCTGCAGGACAGGGAAGGGAAGGAAGAGGAGCAAAGAGCCTCAGAGCGACCCACCAAGATGAGCACCCTTTGAGTGGCCACTCCCAGAAGCCCAGAGGTCTTTTCCCACCCTAAAACTGTCCCAGAACTGTGCTGCTCCGACAGCATTTTCTCCTGGCAGCAACTGTGTCTTTGTAGCCCAGAAGCTGACCCACCCACCCTGTCCCACCACAAGGGACACACGTCCCCCCGCAGCAGGGCTCACCAGTCCCCTCACCTGGTCATGGGAGTAGGGCACCCCCAGGAAGTGGTCAAACCCCTGGTGGGTGGGCAGGAAGGAGCCGTTGACCCCCACGCCCAGGTGCCACTTGCCCACCATGGCCGTGGCGTAGCCCTGAGCCTTCAGCACCTCTGCGACGGTGACCTCGGAGAGCGGGAGCCCTCCCCGCGATCCCGGGTCGAACACGCCGGGATAGATCCCGGAGCGCACCTGGAACCGGCCCGTCAGCAGGGCTGCCCTGCAGGGGAGGAGACTCGGGTCAGCCTGGACTGTCAGACTGTCAGGTTTATCCGCTGCCCGTCCCTCCTGGCATGGACAATCCCCGCTGGGGTCACGGAGTCACGGGATACGCTGACTGGGAAGGGACCCACAAGGATCGTCCAGTCCAACCCCTGGCCCTGCACAGGACCATGCCCAAGAGTCACACCCTGTGCCCCAGAGGGTCATCCAAAAGCTCCTGGAGCTCTGGCAGCCTTGGGGCTGTGCCCACTGCCCTGGGGAGCCTGGGCAGTGCCCAACCACCCTCTGGGGGAAGAACCTTTTCTGAGATCCAACCTGACCCTGCCCTGACACAGCTCCAGCTGTTCCCTGGGTGCTGTCCCTGGTCCCCCCAGAGCAGAGCTCAGTCCCTGCCCCTCCTCTGCCCCTCCCCAGGCAGCTGGAACTGCAGTGAGGTTTCCCCTCAGTCTCCTCCAGCTGAACACACCAAGTGCCCTCGGTGTCCTCACACGGCTTCCAATCAAAGCCCTTCCCCACCCTCCTTTGGACACTCTCTAATGGCTCAACCTCTTCCTTACACCGCGGTGCCCCAAACCGCCCCAGTGCTGCAGGTGTGGCCGCCCAGGTGAGAGCAGAGCGGGCCGATCCCCTCCCGGGGCTCCGGGGCCGTACCGGGAGGGGCTGCAGACGGCGGCGCTGCTGTAGAAGTCCGTGAAGCGCAGCCCGCGGGCCGCCAGCCCGTCCAGGTGCGGCGTGGCCGACGAAGGATGCCCGTAGCTGCCCAGGTCCCCGAAGCCCAGGTCGTCCGCCAGCACCAGCACGAAGTTGGGCCGGGCGGCGGCGGCCGCGGCCAGCGGGGGCGGCGGGAGGAGCAGCGGCAGCAGCGGCAGCAGCGGCGGCGGCAGCAGCGCCCACGGGCGGTCCCGGCCCCGCGGGGCCATGGCGGATGCACTGGAGGGTGTCCCGGGATGCCCGGTGGTGGCCCGGTGATCTCCCGGCGGTGTCCGGGTGATGTCCCGGTGATGCCCGGTGGGTTCTCGGTGCTGTCCGCTGCTGTCCCGGTGATGTCCCGGTAGTGCCCGGCGGTGCCTGGTGGTGCCCGGCGCTGTCCCAGTGATGCTCCAGTAGTGCCCGGCGATGCCCCGGCGATGCCCCGGCGGTGCCTGGTGGTGCCCGGCGCTATCCCGGTGATGTCCCAGTAGTGTCCCGACGGTGCCCGGCGCTATCCCGGTGATGTCCCAGTAATGTCCCGGCGATGACTGGTGGTGCCCGGTGCTGTCCCAGTAATGTCCCGGTAGTGCCCAGCGATGCCCCGGCGGTGCCTGGTGGTGCCCGGCGCTATCCCGGTGATGTCCCGGTAGTGTCCCGGCGGTGCCCGGCGCTATCCCGGTGATGTCCCGGTAGTGCCCGGCGATGCCCCGGCGGTGCCTGGTGGTGCCCGGCGCTGTCCCGGTAGTGTCCCGGTAGTGTCCCGGTAGTGTCCCGGCGGTGTCTGGTGGTGCCCGGCGCTGTCCCGGTGCTGTCCCCGTAGTGTCCCGGCGGTGCCCGACGCTTTCCCGGTGCTGTCGGGGCGGTGCCCCGGCAGTGTCCCGGCTGTGTCCCGGTGGATGTCCCAGCAGTGCCTCCGCTGGACCCGCGGCCCCGGGGCGGTCCCGGTCCCTCCCGCCCGGCGTGGCACAAAGGGAAATCACATGATCGCTGCTCCGCGGGGCATGCTGGGAGTTGTAGTCCGGCACAGCGCACTGGACTACAACCGCTGTCGGCTACACGCTGTTGTACTACAGCTTGTACTCGTACTACAGCTTGTACTTGTACTACAGCTTGTTCTTATACAACTACTGTAGTGCTGCTACAGCTACTGGAGCCCCGAGAGGCCGTGGCGGTCACAGATGGGTCAGGCTGGAAGGGACCACAG